TTCAAAGCTGTTCTATTAATCAAATGTGGAAGATGACACTGAGGTTGTGGGTTGTTTCTAGTATTCTCAGAGTTACAGTATTTTATTATATTTTCATTGTATTTCTGCCTCATCATAAAGTAGACTTCTTAATTCTAGGGGAATACTTACTTTAATACAAAATACTTCTTATGTTATATGGCTGCTTTTTGGCTTATAGGATTTTCTGGTCTTCCAAACAAGTCCCCAAACTTGTGATACCAACCAAAGGCTAAGGTTAAATTTCCTTTATAATACAACAGGCAAGACAGGGCACTCTTGTGGGCAGCCTCAGCTCGGATTCCTAACTTTGGTACACAACAGCTGTTCCCTTCCACACAGCATAAGGAAATACAGAACTCTAAATATTACTGGTGTGTTTTTGCTTTCTTTCATTTTTCATTTTGAAACATCACTTTTAATTTCCTTTCAATTCATTATCAGAGATGGCATTCCTACCTTTGAATGAACACTTGACATGTGTGTATCTACACAGGCATCCATTCCCAAAGTCCCTCTTAGAATCCTAGCAGTCCATAGGCACCATTACACAGCACTGTTGGCATACATGGGTATATTTTTTGTGCTGGATCCCATTTGCATTACAGATTATAAATGCTAAAGGGTGGAGCCTTTCTTTCCTGCCTCTCAAACTCCCTTTCTATAATCCTGGCCAATTCATTGATAAAGTTCCAAGTGCTGTGTAAATCCTTATGGACTGACTCCATAGACTGCAATTCCCTTCAAGGTAAGGATATTGTCTTTCTGCCTGTGTAATCCCAGATCTGCAGGATCCACAGCTCATTTGTTTAGTAATTTAATAAGCATTTTGAATGATCACTAATTCATAGCATTAACATTAGACAAGAGGCTTAAGGCAGGCTCCTAAGGATATTTCCTTTACTTGAAACATTTTGCTTGCTTGTGTAAATCAAGAAGATAAATTTCCTCAGAATTCAGTTTCTTTAATTAAGATTTTAATGCTCATAATGAATGCCTATCACACTCTTCCACAGAAAGCTTACCCTTAGTTAAAAAAAAGAAAAAGACAAAAGAAAAAGAAAAAAAAAACATTTCAAACAAGAAAGTACTAATTAAAATAAACTAAAGTCACTCTTTGATCTGAGAATTAAAACAATAAATACTAGGAAAGGGAAAGTGCACAAAGACAGAAATGACAGACATTTCTACCTCGCTTCCTAAATCTATAGTGCCATGAAAAAGAAAAAAGTGTGAACTTCTGTGCCAAGTATTTCATTTCATGCGGCACTAGACTTTCTAGTGTTCCAAGACATATTCACAACGAAGTAATTGCTTACTGTAAATGTTAAAGAAAACCAAGATTTGACCACTAGCCAGGAAGTAAAATCTGTCACCGAAACACCAACCTTTATATGCAGATGGAATGAGGGAAGTATTTAGAAAAAGAAAGACAACATTTCAAATATAACATTACAAATGTTATTTTCACTGATGTAGGAGACAGATAACATCTTGAGTTCTATGGAATTTAAGTTGAGCTACAATCTAAGCCTGTCAAGTCCATATCTTAGTAGCTAGTAAGAGTTGTACTTAAAATATAATTATAAAATAAAATGATGTTGTCATAAAATCTAAAGTACTGAGTCTTAAAGCATACCAGAACAGTCTAGTTGAATGAATGAATGGACAAATAAATAAATAAATACCCAGAAAGCAAATCTGATAGAAACAGGGATTTGTGATCACCACTCCACACCTGCTGAATCCAAAGTTCTGTGCTATAATCACATGGTGGATTTGAAAAACTTGCTATATGAGTATTTCCAAAATTGAAGACAGCATCTTCACACCTTGATGTGTTAAATCTCATAGTTATGAAAGTCTAGAAGAGTTTAGACCATGCTTTACTGCCTCCTGCTGTTTTTTGAACACCCTACTAAAATATAATTCATATATACAAAACAACACACTTAGGCACATGATCCATGTTTTTAGCAATTCACAATGTTGTGTAACTCCATAAAATTGACTTGGGAACATTTTATCAACATGAGAGTAACTTCATAGCTCTCTAACTCCCACCTCACAGTACTGAGCATGTATGAATATATTTCCTATTTCTGTAGATTTGGCAGTTTTTATTTAAAAAATTATTTTCATTTTACATACCAACCCCAGTTCTGCCTCCCACCCCTTCTCCCACTCCCCTTCCCCCGTCTCTATCTCCCATCCATTCCTCATAGGGGTAAGGCCTTCTTTGGGTAGTCAACAAAGTCTGGCGTACCAAGTTGAGGCAGGACCAACCCTCCTCCCCCAGTATCAAGGCTGAGCAAGGTATCCCACCATAGGGAATGGGCTCCAAAAACCCAGTTCAGGGGCATTTAATTTTAATTGAGTTGTAAGATGTTGTCTTTTGTGCCTGAATCCCCTCATTTAGACCACCATGTTCAAGGTTCATCAATTTTGTAACATACCAGTGCCTCGTTCTTTCATTGTAATTGAATAACACCACTACTGACGTTCATGTGAACATGTACTCTCATTTCTCTTGTGCTGGAGTCTCAGCACAGAAATAGGAGAAATGATAACTCTGAGGAACTTTCAAGTGCTCTTCAAAGTCACCCCACCACTGACATTCCTATGAGCAGTGTATCAGAGCTGTAACTTTTTAACAATCCCCAACTCTTATCCTCAACAGAATTTAGTATGTGTCACGTTGCATCTCATTGCCATTCAGACTTCCAGGTAGGTGAGCATGTGCATGTTGGGTGTTTGCACACTTTCCATAGAAAATGACTATTCAGATCCTTTGTCTAGATTTTGTTTTTAATTGGGTCCGTCTTGCTTTCATTATTCAACTGTAGGAGTTCTTCATATGCTCTAGCAGTTTGAATGAAATGGCCCCCTATATTGGGTCTCTAGTTGGAAAGATTACTCTTGGAGGAGTGATTACTGGATGTGGGCTCTCTGGTTTCAGAAGCCCACAGCATACCATTCCTAGATCTCTCTCTCTCTCTCTCTCTCTCTCTCTCTCTCTCTCTCTGTACTGTCTCAGGATGTGAGCTCTTAACTATCTCTTTTTACTCCAGCGCCATGTCTACCTGCCATCACTGGGATGAACTTGCCTTCTGAAACTGTGAGTCTCCAATAAACTCTTTTGTTTTCCTCTAAATTGCCTGGGTCACAGCAACAGCAAAGCAATGAAGACACTATCTCACTCTGATACAAAGCTAGCAAATAATTCTTTCTATACGTGGGTTGTCTTTTCACTTTCTTAACAGTAACCTCTGAAATACAATGTACTTTTGGAAATCATTTTCCTTTAAAAGGTTGTGTAACATTTTTAATTTTTGAGAATTTTATACATGTATGAGTATACCATATTTATATCCTGATTATTTTGTACTTATTGTCTACATATATGGTCTGACCATTTGGGATTGTATAATCGATCAGGGAACTTGTCACTGGAGAAAACTGATTGCCTCCTCAGTGGCAATTAACTGCTTATTTGCTCATTAGATGTGGAGGACAAATGTCACAGTACACATGTGGAGGTCAGAGGTCAACTGTGTGGAGTCATTTCATTCCCAGCATCATTCTTTTTATCCCTAAACAAACAAATCAGCCTCCCTATAAATATCTTTATTCCCTAAAAAAAAATCTCATCTTTGAATTTACTATGTAATGCTAAGCAGAACTTTTATTTAGATACTGGCTCTTAGTCTATGGATTTACAGGGTTTAAGTGTTACTAAATTAATAAAACATTACATACCTTTGGCACAGAACCATGATTTGGTAGCATTTAAATGTAAAATACTATTTTGAATAGGTAACTGAATGGAAACAACAATGACTCTGGATACCATGCCATTACCTGTACTAAGTAATCATTTCCAATTAACAGATAGTCAGAAACACAAAGACACACAAAAGCAAGGAATGCCATTCATACTGAGAAACACACAGATAACATGATACAGGCATGTGTGAGTAAAAGGGATAAGTAACAGAGACCTCTCTTTGACAGTCCACCACATCCAACATGAAGTATCAAGTTCTGAGGCAAAGAACTCAGAGATCGGAACTTCAGAAGAGTCTAGCTGAACTGAAGAAGCATTGCCACCTGCCCTCCTCCGTATGAGGCGGAAGGTACCGACTGAGCAACAGAGTACAGGGTGTGAGGCAGTTCCCAGGGAAGTTCCTCTGGGACGTGGTCCAGGCTAATCCCCCAGAGCTCCTCTAAGAACCCTTGGGTAGAGAAAGTCTGAAAGAAAAATGCACCTGGACAGAAGAAGCTTAGTGGATAGATACCCTTTGAGATTTTCAGGAGTGAAGCCAGGCCAGACTACTGGGATCTAACATAAGGGGTCATTGCCATGGTAAAGTTGTGGCAATGGCCTGACGGAAGTACAGTGTCCACTAGAGTGGGCTGGGATTCAATATGTGATAATCAAGAAAAGAGAAGCCATGAATCTGAGAGGAAGTTAGCTTGGGAAGTTAGGTTGAAGGTAGGAAAAGAAAGGGGAGAAACAGTGCAATCTTATTTTAAACTTTTAAAATAGAAAAGAAAGCGTGTACAGGGCTTGTTTAGGCTTCAGCCAGATGGGTTTCCAGCACTGAGAGAGAGAAGTAGACAAAGTTTCCTTCCCTATCCCAGAACTGGCATCTGATCACAAAGGAAAAACAAACTTTCACCAATGGAATCTGACTGGGTGTCTGAATCACACTTAAGTGCAGGTCCTACGTGCATCGGTAGAAGGCCGACACAAAATGAACTCAAGGGATGTCTGCAGATGACATTTTGTCTCATATTGCTTTGTCTGGGCATGTTTTGTCTCATGGGTCACTTTTTATATATTCTAGCTTCTGCTTTTTTTTTTGTCTTTATGGATTGAATGTGTTGTGTTTTTCTATTCTGATTTGTTTGTTTGTAGGGAACTGGGTGCAAGTCATGTTATTCAGTAGCAAAGACAATTCAATGCTAATGAAGATTACCTTTTTTCCAAAGATGACGAAAGCGTGTGTCCAAAGGCTGATTAAGAACCATGAGGCAATATTTCAAATTTCCTAAAAGAAAAGAAAACGGGTAAACATACATAGAGATGAAGGGAGCCGCTGCCCATCATCTGGGTCTGAATCCTAAGCTCCATGTACATAACTGGGGACTGCAACAGCAGCAGCTCTCGCATGCTTCCTGTAATGTCTGCCTCTCCCACTTTATTTCAGGAATGAATGTATCATGAAAGCAGCTCACAGTGAAAGAATTTTTTTTTTTTTTTGCAGGAGATAAATGCTTTTAGTATGAATTCTCATCATTAAAAAAGATCCAGCCCTGATATGACAAAATCTGCTAGCCACTGCTTTTATACTCTCCGATCATTTTAGAGGCTGATGTCACTTGGGGTGCTGGCGTATGCTATGGCACTCATCCCCACTCATTCGTGTTATTATTTTTATTATGTCACCCTTACTTTGAACTTTCTAATGTAAAACCATGTGTGTGTTCTCAGGAACCCTCCCACGTACGCTTATTCAAGTATTCAAGTTTATTCAAGTATTCAGACAATACTATACAATGATACAGGCAATGTTACTTTCTGAACTTTTACAGAAGGAAAACAAGTAAAGTTCAAAAGAAACAGGTTCTCAAACCTGGGATGGGACTTGAAAACGAGTGGCCTCTGACTTCCTATGATGATCTTTACATAGTACAAAGAAAACACAGTCAAGCTGTTGAGAATGCACCAGTTTTGTTCAAGCACTCCTCAATTACAGAAATCAAATAATTGCTTAGTGATAAGAAAAACCATTGTGTGAGCCTTCTCACTATTAGAAACAGAAAAGATAAGGTAATGAAAAGAATATGTCAGCATGAACAACAAACTTTATTACTAATTATACTCCATGCACTGAGGGGTACAAAGAAGAGCAAATTTACAGGTTATCTGTTCAATAAAATGTTGATAATATTCAGACTGTGCATCCAACAATGGAAGTATATGAGGAAGGGCCAGATAACAGAGGCCATGAATTGGAAAGAAAGCAAGGGAGGGCTGGAAGGGAGGAATCGGAGAAAGAGAATGATACAGTTATATTATAATCTCAAAACAATCCAAGAAGCAACAGAAAAGGAAGTGGCATCTCAATAATGGAGGCCAATAACAATAGTATAAAACTTAAAAGCAACATTTAACATTTCACTGGAATTGAGCTTAAGATATGTACAAAGTGTGTGGTATAGGGATGGGTTGGAAAGTACTGTATATTTGAGAAGCCTACAAACAGATGTAGCAACAGACAAATGACGTGAGGAAAGAACAAAGAATGAGTGCAAAATTACCTTTGCTCACTATTACAGAGCAGAAAAGGTCAATGAACAATTAGAGTAGAACGTGTAAAAATGAAGAGCAGTTGCTTTCAAAGCAACAGAGTACAGGAAGTGACAACGCTCAGTACCAGAGACAGTGATACGTCAGCAGCAGCATGACCAAACACCTGTCCGTGATTTCATGACTCCCCAGTTTTCTGGGGAACTGAAGAGATGTGGGTGTAAGCCAAGAGAATGGTGACAGTTGCTTCGGGATCCCCAGGTGCTTACTAGATTAACCTTAGGAAGACAGCTTTGGTAAAAATCAAGAATGCTTTCATTATAATCACCTCAGTTAAAAAAAAAATCTTAGGGGGGCTTAATGGTTTCGAGCACTTGCTGCCTTCACCAAGGACCTGAATTCAGTTCCCAGCACCAACTAAGGTGACTCACAACCACCTGTACCTCTAGCTCCATGGGATCCAACATCATTTTCTGCTCTCCACAGGTACCTGCACTCTGCATTCACACACACATATCTACACATGGAAACACATGCCTATATACAGATTTTTTTTAAAGTCCTAAAAAATACTGAGGGAAGTGTGTGTGTGTGTGTGTGTGTGTGTGTGTGTGTGTGTGTGTGTGTGTGTGTGTGTGCGCGCGCACGTGTGTTGTATCCTATATGGATTTGTCTGTCTCTAGCCAAAGACATGTGTACAGAACCTCATTAACATCCTTCTAAGAACCTCCATATGGTGGTGGAGGCCCTTGACTTCTTCCTTTCTGTCCCCTCTCAGGCACTGAGAAGCCAAGCTTGATGAACCCACATCCTGGAAGTCCAGCAGCCATCCACCGTGAATCCTAAGAACAGGATGACAGCATGAATCCCCTCTCCACATGTCACTGTCTGCTAGAGTTCATTTTTATGACAAACAAAATAAACCTCCAAGCCCTTCCTAAGTCCTGGCCTTGATTCTAGACTACTGCAAGGGTATCAAGAGTGAGTTCAGCAGTGAAGATCAGAAACAGAGCCCAGTCAGTCACAATTGTATGAAAATCAAATGTGCTTCATCCTTTCTCCTTCCTTCCTCTTTTTTACTACAAGTTGTGAAATAACCTCAGAGGAGCTTGAGAGACAAGAAAATCTCTAGGTCTTGTGTCTGACAAGTCTACTTTTAAAAGGAATTGATCAACACTGCTTTTGTTTATGTGTTATTGCCAAGGTGTTTTTTTGTTTGTTTTTTAAATGTATTAACTCAGGATTTTTGTGGCTCAAAAACAATCTGGTAGGAAGGACGGCCACATCCCTATTGCTGTTCTAGATCAGTGGTTCTCAGTCTTTCTAATGCTTTGACCCTTTAATATGGATCCTCATGTTGTGGTGATGCCCAACCACAAAATTACTTTTGTTGTTACTTCACAACTGTAATTTTGGTACTGTTATGAGTTTTAATGTAAATCTCTGATATGTAGACAGTCTTAGATGACCACTGTGGGTCATGTGATAGGCTAAGAACCAATGTTCTAGATCAACATTCTCATGATATTATATGTGAGCCTGTTTCATTTTTAAAAAAGAATCCAGGATTGTAAAATGTTTAATCTATGATCTGATAATGATGCCATTAATAACAAGGAATTTACTCAGCTATTTCTACACATAACATACATGCAAGGCTGTACACAGAAGTATTTAGATAGTTTCTTCCGCTTTACTCCAGTTTTCTCATGGAATCTCATGGTAGATCTTTGTGTACATCTCTACCTCAGTAGCTCCATGTTACTCATATATCGAACCATGGACAATTCTCTCCATTCACAGAGTTCAAAAGAATCATTAAAAAATGGGACAAAAATTAACACTCTTATTCTAAGATTACGTTACTAACTTAATGCTGTTATTCAACTACACAAAAAGTTTTTTCTGATGTTTTATTATGAAAAATTTCCTCATTATCTTATAAAGACTACAATTTTTTTCAATCAATACCCTAATTTGTACACAAAATTTCAGTGCTTTAGGTATAACGGCAACAGAAAGTTTTTCATTTATCCATAAAACATGTAATGTGCTCCATTTTAAGGGACAAAGAAAAACATAAATTCACTGTTATTCTTCAAAGGAAGATGACAGATTCCCAAACACCGACGATAAACAGAAACTGGCATGCTATAAATTGAATGGATCCAAGTTTACGACATGAAAAGAAAGACGAAGTCAAATCATCATGCACGGCTGAAAGAAGAGAGCTTTTGCACATCAAGGACTAGTGAACATAAGTTCATTTTTAAAGAAAGGAGAGCTTCCTGTCTTCTGTCTGCTACATAGACAGGGCACTGCTCGGGAGGAATAGGTGACTCTGTGAGCAAGGAAAAAGGAGCAGTGGTGGCCCTAGATTACCAAGTAGTACCAGAAGGAAGTGATTACTAAAAACAACACAACAGACAACTGAAATAGCTTGCTATGCCCCAAAGGGCAAACCTGGAACAATCTGAGCTACAAAATACAGTATTAAAGCAAAGGACAAAATTAAATATTTTTAAGACCACACCTACAGGAGGGAAAAAAGATAAATAAACAAACTAGGAGAACCCTGAGTGAGGGGTATATATCTGTTATATATCTGTTATATATCCCTGTCCTGTGGCAAGATGACCCCACCACTAATGGATAGGCTGAGAGTAACAAGTAGCTAAAACTATCATAATCATGAGGAGATCTAGAGCAGTGCTTCTCAACCTTCCTAATGATGTGATGACCCTTTAATACAGCTCCTCGTGTTGTGCTGACCCCAAGCCAACTGTAAAAATATTTCATGCTAACCTCATAACTGTAATTTTGCTACTGTTATGAATTGTAGTGTAAGTATCTGATATGCAGGATATCCATATCCCATGGCAACGTCTATAAGTGAAACTTCTTGAGAAGGTCTTTCCACTGGAGCATCTCAGAAGCTCAGAACAAGTTCACCATTCTGCATGGAGACTGGATTTCGAAAGCCATTCTTTCAGTTTGAAATTAGCGAGTTTATGACCTACTCAGGAGGCAAAAGTAAGAGAACAAATAACAAGTAGCAGAGAAAAGCAGAAAATAGCAAAAGACCAACCAAGGGGGAGCTTACAACATCTGTCAGTAAAGATTGGAGCAGCAGCAAGTCAGAGGCCTAGACAGTGAGCAGAATGACCATGACTGAGGAAGCCCTGCTGAGATAGTCATGCCTACATTCCTACTGAGAGCTTTCCATGGAGAGCCAAGTGGTCTCTCCATGTATGAACTCTGCTTGGCCTTATCAGGCCCACTGCAGGCATTTTAATAGTATGCAATGGACAAGAGGTGCCTCTGTTGGAAATGTTTTCCCTCTAGATCACTGCTTCTCAACCTAGGGGTTGCCACCCCTTTGGGGTTGCATATTGTGTATCCTGCATATCAGATACTTACACTGTGATTCATAACAGTAGCAAAATTACAGTTTATGAGGTAGCAACGAAATATTTTTACAGTTGGCTTGGGGTCAGCACAACACGAGGAGCTGTATAAAAGGGTCATCACATCATTAGGAAGGTTGAGAAGCACTGTTCTAGATCTCCTCATGGTTGTGATATTTTTACCATTAGCTACTTGTTATTACTCTCAGCCTATCCATTAGTGGGGTCATCTTGCCACAGGACAGGGAGTCCTGAGGAACCCTGGAAAAAAATCTTCCATAAGCAGGCCCTTTACAACAAGGGCAAACAGCATATGATGACTTACTAATCA